ACCCTTCAGTGTGAAATGTGGCTCTCTTTGCAAGCACATCTAACATCTAAGGAAAGAAGAGCTTAATTGGTACCAGATAAAAATAATGTTGTTATCAACATTAATACATTATGCTAATTTTCATCTTTGTAAGCGCATAAGACAGTGCAAATTATTTCTGTGACAGTCTTTTGAAGTGTGTAAAGCTGCATTTTATCCCATACATAGTCAAAATATTGGGGGGGATGATACAATGGACCATCCCCCCCTTGTCAAATATTGGGGGGGGATATATCCTCTCCATCCCCCCCCCGGGATCTACGCCTATGATAATGTTATCCATACCTGAGAAAACTATTTATCTCAGTCCATACGGACATACTGAGGACATTTTTGTACTCTTTTTCCATCACGCATACCCCGAGCTTTTTGTTTAATTTCAGGGGAAAAGCTACTGTAGTCTAAAGGCTTAGCGAATGGCACCACGCTATATTTAATGGGATATTGAGCCTATATGCACATATACTGTACTGCATATTGTAAAGTCGCTGGACCTTTCTGACGTTTAAATCAAACTTACCGTACCTGACCAATCAGTGCCAGGAATTCTTGCTTGTCGCAACTGATCTGCAGACTGCGTAAAACATTGTAAACAAAACATTTAGGCCTAATGCTAAAATAGACTATGATTTACACAACTTCTAGTTTACCTGCTATGCTATCTTATACAGAAAAAAATTACTTGACGAACACTATTATATTATTATATTTTACATTTTGTAATTGTAGCCATGAAATACATCTTATTAAAATCACAACTTATTTCAAGCCAACCAGACTAAATCTAAATAAAGAAAAAAAAAAAAAAAAAAAAAAACTAACAAACTATATAAACATGTTTCTGCATTACAACAGACTGCCATCATCAGTTTAATAATAATTACTTACAAGCAAATTATAGTAGGCATATCCCTCTGCGATCTGCTCAAAAAACCTATAATAAAAGCTCTTGGCTTCATTTTTAGGACCCTTGGATGAGCTTCTTTTTGAGATGGGCTTAATTTTCGAGATTAATTAGGCAAATTGAAATGTGAGTGGGTGCGAGATAAGCCCATTCGGCTTCTATTCTATATGATAGTCGATATAGTCTTAAAATACAAAAATGAACAGATAAGCTCATGCGGATACTACTACTTTAAAAGGGTAATATATCAGCATTAAAGTTAACGATTGGAGTGTATACACATTAGATTAGGTATTCAAAACTTGAATTATTCATAAAAGTTAAATGCGTCTTAATGTGAACGCGGCAATGCTGCCTACTTCTAATAAACATTTGAATGGTAATACCATGAATTTATTTCAACGATTAGTAAGAAACAGTTAGACAAAATTTGGGACACATAGAAAGAAGATTTGTAAAAAATGGCGCTCACAGGATGCATTGAATGTAAGAGAAGCAGAGAAATGCAAAAGCTAGTTTAATATTTGAGCAAGAGGGCATTACATTAGGAAGGAAACAGGAACGAGCAGGAATTGTAATGAAGTTAAAAATTTAAAAAAAATAAAAGAAAGGAATCTGTGACAGCGATCACTTATATATATAATCACACCTATATGTATATAAAATCAGAATGTATACGGTACACCATATTACATTTAATCAAATAAAAATAACATCATTGGCTACAAATATGAATCCTAATGATGTTACCATTGCCAACTGCTTATTATTGATCCAAATTTTATTTATTATATGGTTTTTATCCATGTATATAATAATAACTTTGGTGTCATTACTATTTACCACCCATAATTTTATCTAGTGAGAAGACGTGATATCTAGTACACAAACTATGGTTTTGTTCATCGTCTTTGTCGTTTATATAATGTGTCTTGTAAATCATCAAAAACCAAGATTTTCCTTTACATGTGAATGGCAGGATTTGTTCGCATTGAACTTTACTTCTATTTTCCAAGATAGTAACGAAGTCGTCAGTAGTACCCAATGAATCGTTGTCTTTTACTGGTCTCAGGCGGATCGCTTTGTCATTGGTTGTGTCTTGTTCCAGATGCCACAATCCCTCCCACGTTGACCTATCTTGTGTTTGCGATGAAGCTGCTTTGACGTCCATGGATGCTACTTCGATTTCGGATGTTTCAGTCTGCTTTGTTAATTTACTTCCAGATGACTCTCCTTCTGACTTGGTTGGCAATTTTTTAGTGACCTTCTTTGGAATTATGCCAAGTAATCTTCGATTCTTTACCTTTTCCGAAGACCCTTCCATTGAATCTTCAAGTGATTCTTCTATTGTTGCCGTAATTTCTTCTTCGTCTTCCTGTTTATTTGTTTCTGATGAGTCTTTTTTCCTTGTATTTTCTGTTGATTCCTCCTTATTTAGTGTAGATTCTTCAGTAAGGAATGCACTTTCAGACTGTATTGCTGATTCACTTCCACGTGACTTTTCTTTCGACTTGGTTGTAAATTTGTTCGTGACCTTCTTAGCAAATTTGCCTAATGAACGCCGTTTCTTTATATTTTCTGAGACCTCTTCCACTGAGCATTCAATTGGCTTTTCTGACAATGTATTTGTATCTGGTGAGCCTTCTTCCGTTGCATTTTCCATTGAATTATCATTATTAGTTGATGTTGCTTTAATTGTGGGTACACTTTCGTAGTTTTTTGTTGATTTACTTGATGACTCTCCTGAGTAGAATGACAGTGGATAAGTGAACATGCCTCTGATTTTGCTTAACATACTCCACCCTGTCTTTGGTAAATTTTCTTTCCTTGCATTTTCAGATGATCCTTCCTCTTCACCATCATGCGGTACTGAAGTTTCCATACATTCCATGGACGAAGCACAAACCAACGATCCACCAAGAATTGCGAAACTTACTACGGGCATTTTAAATTTCCAGTCCTGAAATATTTCGACGAATATAATTATAACCATATTGGTATTATCAATAAAATTATTGTCAATGTTGTATATTTTAGTATACAAACATGTTTATATTCTACTTTTGACTTACTTTAGTGTTACTTGTAAACGTTGTGCAATAATCATAACTTCGTCCTTCGTATAAGACCTTTTTGGCATCTAAAGATGAAATAATCACAACCATTCTTTTTCCATTGCCTGTTTCTGTCACCTGAAATTTAATAATACAGTATTCTTTAATTAATAAGACAAACTTGGGTCAGGATTATCACACAATATTTTACATAGGACTGGTTGTGGTTGTTATTGTTCTTACTATTTATAATGAAACTGTAATTAATGAAAGAAAAAGGAAAAAACGAAAATAAAAACTGTCAAGGGTCACCAACAACCATTAATTTTTCACGTTCCTAGACCTCTACCTAGATTGTATAAACTGAACCCATTTGCTTAGAGTTGGTAGTGTTCTGGTGGTAGTGGTAGAATTAAGAGAGGTACTGGGGCGGGTCGCGAATTTTTGTTCGTGAAGAGCCAAGCATAGGGAAACATATAAAGCGCTCTGATTGGCTAATGATAAGATGAAATCATCGCACAAGTTGGCACAAGAGTCAACCAACTCGCACTCGAATACGGATACGGTGCGAGTGAGAGTGATCACAAGAAAGTATAGGTTTGATTCACCGATTGCAGACTATGGTTTCCTCAGAGTAAGTTTTCACTATTATTGCTGCATACGTACCCACAACGATCAAGGTAAAATTGTAAGGAGGGATGCATCTCATGAATCTATCTAGGCCCAGTCTAGGCAAGGCCTACCCTTGGCGTAGTTGGAAGATGGACCTACACTCCTATCCCATATCATCAATCATGATGCAAGAAAGATCAATGCAACACCTACACTAGGCCTAGTTTCCATGACAAGTTCGCCTTCTTTTTGCTGAAGAGCAACCTGCTTAAGGCCCAAATAGTATATTTTTTCCTTTATTTCTACACCTCAAAACTGTAATATAATAATTATAATAAATAACTACCGTAAGACCAAACTTTACTACTACTACTAGGGCTTAGACCCTGGCCTATTGTCCACAGCTCTCCAATACTTTATATTATAATTGTAATTTTAAAATTATAATGTTATACTTGACTAACAGCAAACTTGGAAATGTCAGATGCCCCTTTCTTTATTATTCAGTTGCTTAAATTATTGGTTATAATTTTTTTTTTTTTACCATTTTGATTTTTCTATTTTGTACTTTTATATGCTGTTACAACATTTTACCTGTCTAGTCTTCTATTATAGGCCCCTATATATCCTTTTTTTAATGAATAAATGTAACACAAGTAACATGCAATTTGGTCTTTGGACACCTTATATTATTGTTTGAGATGTGATGTTTGAAAAAATAAAGTAATATTTTTAAATATCAACCAACCTACAAATAAGCAGCAACCCAGGTTTTTTTGATAAAAAAAAAATCCTCAAACTGCTGATGTTGTTATGTCATAATATGACATAATAAATGGAAGCACAATTAAATACTTGAATCTGGTAGTGTTTTTTTTTAGGTCCATGAAATGGTAACACAGAGTGGGAATTTGGCCTTTTGGGATGCTTCTGGATGGAACGGTGACTGATAGACATTGCTAATAGCAGCTATGCATAGAACCATCACTACCTTCAACACAGCCAATTCCAGATGAATGCCTAACCAAAATACATGAGCAAATGTACTAAGTAAAAAGCCAGAAGTTGTCTACAATGTCAAAATAAGTTTAGAACATTTAGGAAAGACACAGTTGGGTAATGGAAGGTTGTACAAAGAGAACATTGTACAGAAAATGTTCCACTGAGTACTTCTTGAAAGCAAATAGAAAAAAAGTCTCCCATAACCTAGTATATACGGAAAACCAAAACCTTGAAAAAACTTATTCATTTAAGTCAAAAAATGTAAATGACACTCTTGCCAAATAAAAAAAAATAGATATTGCATTATTTATTTAAAAAATAGATAAAGTTTGTGATTGTACTAATGTTCACACATCTGCTTTTCTGACACTATTATATTTATTACTGTATTTGTTAGCTAATATTTACAAACACAAGTAAGGGTTGCCTTAATTTATTAGCTGTGAATTATCTCTGTTAATTCACACTTTATTATATCATTTATAAGCTGGTTTTATTATTTATAATTCGAGAAAAAAAGAGAACAATAAAGAAAAATAACTTAACAGATTTAATATTATTGACTATTTTATAATCTACTTGCTTCAATTTTTTCAGATGTGCAATTTTGTGCGAGTGTAATTGCACAAGGAGAGAGCAATATATATATATTGTACAGTAGTGAAGAATGTTGACTTTCCAGCTTAGATTTATACATTTAAAATACAGATACAAATACCAACAATATATGTTATATGTTAAATGAAATAGACACCATCAATAAATAACATACTGCACAGATTCAGAGGAAGAAAAGATAAATTGAAGTGGTGCAATACACTAACTTTTTTTAATAATTATTATTATATTACTGTTGCCATCGTGAATACTAAATTTTGACAGCTTTACTATTACTATACACTTTTGTATATTGATTGACTACCATTAACAGACATAGACGGGTAAGTAAAGGAAAGACTTTTCGAATAATACTGTGCCTTGTTTAGGGAACTTATTTTTGTAGAAGCCGTCAGAGGGAGGGAAGAATTATTTAGCAAAATGATTTTGCCAAAAGCAAAGTGAAGGACAAAATGAAAATAAAATTTTCAGATATAAATTGAAACAAGTGTTGTAATGAGATTGATAAATGCTTTAAATTTATCTAATTTGTCGATATTTCAGGGGAGTGAATTAAAGCCATAATAAAAATATCTAACACTTTTATGTTTTTCTAAAATTTCTATTTTTCGTCGGGGAGGGTGCGTTAACTATTCGAAATCGCTATTTAAACAAGGTACAGTATCATGAACATGTCTGCCTAAAAGTCTGTGATTCCAGGGCCTACTAACTCTAGGCCCTACTATTAGGCCCTCTATGCAAACGACCTCGTTTGTACTCATAGTAGGCCCTACTACAGTGTTTTCTAGGCCTATCGATAGCATTGGTATTAGAGTTGTATGATCAGCGGTGACTATGGTAGACTACTAAATGTTGTTCCCAATAATGTAATCTGTTACACCTATAAATCAGGCTTACTCGGCGCGTTGTACTGTATGTGCATAGATTGTTTTGTTGGCGTGTATATCGCAGCTGCATTGCTCTGCGAGATACATTGCGACTGTCAAACAAAAGTGCGATTATGTCATCTTATCATTAGCCAATCAGAGCGCTTTATATGTCTCCCTATGCTTGGCTCTTCACGAAAAAAAAATTTGCGGGCGGGTCCAGATATTTGCAAGAAGGGGTGCAAAGAGAACTGCTGTATGAATAACATAGGCCTATGTTAAATCTGTCTCTTATACACATCTAGATGTGTATAAGAGACAGATGTTAAATGACTTCGGATTTTTTTTGCTTCGAAGTTTTCGAATGGGGGGGGGGGGCGCAAGCTTTTTGTGGGGGTGGTGCGACCCCCACGTCCCCCCTCTTGGATACGCCACTGAAAAGCAGAACAGGTGAACAAGCACCCCTACAGAGCTGTCTTAGCACCGGAGTGAGAGAAATGAAACAAAAATAAATATAATTTGCATGAGAATAAATGTATGTACTAGTACCTAGTAGTAAGTGGTAAGAATTTCTTTAGTAATAGTAAAATAGTTAGAGTGTATGTAGTGGTAAGCTTACCTGTATTCGCATATTTTCTTTAGCTTCTTCAATCTTCAGATTTTCTCCTAAATTCCAATTAATTTCGTCATCTGTCCACATAATAAACGGTTCATATTCTTAACGAACATGAAAAGGGGAAAAAACAAATTCGTTACATTTTCAAATTCTACTCACGTTGGGAAGTACCACATTAAAAACAAAAATTAAACGTAATAAAAGATTTCTGACCACGAAATAGGAACAAATGGGTATTGAAAAGGGGAAATTTACTTACTGAATATACGATATGGGACATGGAGGACGCGTTAGTAAATTTGGATTTTGGTGAGAGGTACCGAGTTCGTAATGCGTTTCTAGATTTCATGCTTTGATATCACACTTATTACATCAATAGGTTTTTGGATGGGAACGTACAATTAGTAGGCCTACAATATTCAAAGAGTAAGGGAACGGCCTAATGCCGGTAAAAGGCATGATAAGCGCTACCCTTGCCGCCACTTGCTTCTATACAAATGTTGTTTTTATTTCAACCAATAGGAACATATTCACATTTTAGACAAACATATCAGTGACTTCACAAGTGCTACAAGTGTAATAGGAATTCAAATGTTAAAATAATGTATTTTAATATAATAATGTATATGTATGTAAATCGACATGTCTATGTTTATATTGGATAAGCAGGTATAACTTATTTACGTTTGTATGTGTGTTCATAATGTGTCTATATGAAAGTTAGATTAATGGATGTGTATGAATAATCAATAAAACATGCTTTTAATTTATATACTTTGTTTTCTTACCACATGATTGCTTTTCGACATCAAGTTTACAACAAAAAGACGTACAAAAAGACCTCTTCAATACATCCATTCGTTTCCTCTTCTGATATCCTATATTCCAACACATACAGTCATGTTATTATACCGGTACGTAATAATAATAATAATAATAAATGGATTTATGTAGCGCAAATAAACTAGGTCTCTATGAGCCGGGGACTAGAATTTCACTTTTCAATAACTTTCTCCTCCCCTGAGGGTCCTCTGCAGCCAGTAAACTGGCGGACTTTCATCTGTCCACGATAGGGGCCGAGAGAACCAGTACACCGGGGGTAACCCCCTACTTATCTTGAAAGATGTACAGGGTTCTTTAAAGTGCACATGAGCATTTGCGTACTCTGGGCCTACGGTTTATAGTCCTTTTCCGAGAAAACGTGTTCCACCACAAGAACTATAGGAGCAAACTGGCCGCAAACCTGTGCCGATATTGTTGGCTATAATCATGGTGCCCCTGCCTTCACCGCTCGGCCATTTGGTATTCTGCTGACGTATAATAATAGTCACGTCTGTTCATTAAATAAACGCAATACTGTATGTACAAGAGGCATAGGAGTATAGGTGTACATGTGACAAACGTCTAAAATGGTTTAAATAGAATTTGCACAGTTAACATGTACCCGTGTAATTGTTATGATAACTCAGTTTTATTGGTTACATCGTTGTTGTATTTATTGTTTATTCATTTATTAAATAACACTCTTTTATAATGTTATACAATTAGGTAGCAATGTTTTGTATTTAGTTTGTAATATTGGAAAACATAGTATTTATATTGTCACTAGATTACGAAAATGATCACAATACGTTAGCTGCATAACATCTACTCTACTAATTTGTTCCGAATAGGTTTATATAGGTAGATTTTTAAAATTATATCTGTTTAGTAATATTTCATAATTAGTGTAGCATAATACGCTGGGAATTATTAACCGGGGATCAGATCTAAACACATAAAAGTAATGTAAAAATTTCATCTTTCTTATTTTTTTTGTAAGCTTTTATAGCCTGACCATCGAATAATGCGCGTCTTTAGTTAAGGGCAAAAACACTATTATACTTGCCACGCTTTATCCAGCCACCGACGACGAGTCGTCCATTTGATAGCTTTTTGCCGCTATGAGGATCTATCAATGACACAGTAAAATGAAAAATGACAAATAAAAAGTAAAGAGACAACTCAATCGCTACTCATTCTCTTCATCTTCAGCAATCCCTTCAATATCATCAGCAGCACCAGCAGCTGGTAACGCTTAAACTCTACTCAAATATCCTATCGTAATCTGTTTCAGATTAAAAAGAAAAAAAATGTTAATTCTATACTGTTTGCACATTAAATAGGGGCATGTTAATAAACTGTAAAAAAATGTTTCAACAAATAGGTCTACTTTTGTCAATGGATAAGTGATCTAATCAGTAACAAAATTAAATTCTCTAAGTCATTAAAGTGGTTGGCGCATCTGTTGTGGCTTGGACTCCCAACCTTGAGGTCGGGGGTTTGAAACTCTCGCTGTGCAAATCGCGTGTGTCCTTGGGCAAGGCACTTTATCTACAGGTGCCTCTCTCCACCCAGGAGTACAAAAGGCTACCTGGTAGGTTCGAACACAACTGCGCTGATTACTAGCTGAAATATTACGGAATAATAATATAATTTAATTTAATAATTTAATTTGGTGTTGAGTATGTGTTCCATATGTGTGTGATCCAATGACCTGGGTAGTAATGTGAAGCATGAAGAGGCTTTGTGCATGAAGCGATATAAAGAACGACATATTATTACACCTACAGTAGCTTGAAGTCGGGAAAGCTCATTTCACGCCATCTAAGAATCAAAATTTTCCTCGAAGAGGGCCTCCTGATCCCCCTTCCTTTTTGGGGTTCTTAATAATATTGGCCTCAACCCCCTAATTTTGAACCCATTCATATTCGCATTCATCTTACTAGTGTCCCCTCCCCCATTCTGCCGGCCCATGTTATCATCATCAACAGCAGCTTATAGGCCTACACTTCACTCAACATCTCATTATTATATGCATCATATTATTATTTTCAAAAAGGTTGAGGTCTATTTATGGATAGAGTTTACACTTTCCTTAAATTAATGCAAAAAAAAAAAAAAAACTGTAAAGAAATGTTTCTCCATTCAAAATCTATTTTTGGCTAACCTAATAAGTCATCTGAGAATCATTATTATTTTTTATTAGAAATTTGTTTGGATTCTATGCAGATATTATTCTCCTGAAGACGTTTGAAGCAACACAATTGAAACCAGTGGCGTAACAGGCAGACTGCCCCCCTGACGGTTTTCACTGGGCTGACCAAGCCATCGTACCGAGCTGGGTAATAAGAGAAAAGAAAGAGGATAAAGGGAGGGAAAGAGAAAGAAGGGGAAAAGAAAAGGAAAGGAAAAAGAAAAAGAGAAGAGAAAAATAAAGACAAGAATAAAAAGGAAGATATAATGACCAGACTCACAACACCCTGCAGCCCCTTCTCCACTTCAAAATGTCCATAGCTCCTTTGATCTAAGCTGCCAGAAATTCCCCGCAGTGGCGTAACCACTGAGGGACCAGGGGAAAATATCCATCTGTCGAAAATCTTTCCCACCCCTTGAAGATACCCTTTTCACCCCCTGAAAGTGCCTACAAATCACAAATTTCGCATTTCTTGTTAAAGTAGACCAATTTCCTCTAAAAATTGCAGATTTTAGGGAGTTTCGATCAATTCCGACGAAATTAGAATTAAAAACACAAATATTTTTTTCCGCGTTTCACGCACATTTTTAGGAATTTTTAGGGTTTTTAGGGTTAAGTTTAAAATAGATCTTTTACCTAAAAGAAGGGCCTCAATGTGTAATGATGGTGAAAGAATACGTTTGTAATAAATAAAACCATGATGAAAATGCTTATATTTAGTTTCAAATACACATGTGTGGCCTATATTAAAAATAAGATAAGCCCTATGTCGTATTGTTTATTATATGGGGGTGGGGTGGGTATGATAAATTACCAACCGGGAAAATTATTACCTCCCCCCCCCCCCCCAAGACCCCCCCCCCCCACCACGATCCAAGACCCCTGTTACCTGTCTGATTGAAACGTTGAGACATTCTCAACAAACAACAGTACTTTTCAGAACTATCTACGTGGTGTACCACTAACATTAAATATATTATTACTTCGCCATGCAAACAATTACACAATATAGATTTGTTTCATGTTATCATTGTCTAAACGTTCTATTTCTTAGGCTAACAACTCACCAAATTTGAAAATTTCGATGGGTCCCTCAGATTTCAAATTCTCAAAGATGTTCTTGATAATTTTAAAGCTTCCATCTGGCAGTAAAGAAAACATCTTCCCTAAAATTCTTCTATCTTTAGATACATTTATATATCCAAGGATAATGTATGGCTGTTCTAGGCCAGGCAGTGCAACGAAGCTTAACAACTCTTCTCTGAAAACAGATTTAAACAATTTCATTGTCAAGTTTACATTACCAATAATAATAATTTCCAATCCAGGGATGGCGAAGCATCTGACCCTTTCGTAAAGCTGCAGTACCAACTTTAATAGAGTTCTATAAAAATGCGAAAACCAATATTGTCGTGATATTTTACAACAGAAAACACAAAGTTTAAAAAAAAAACTTCAGACAACTATTCGCAGGAGCAATATTAATAGTGGTTTCTGGACAAAACGGCAAAAAACCAAAACGGCAATGACCAAAACGGCAATGATAAGTACCAAAACGGCAATGTCAACAACCAAAACGGCAATAGCAAATCAATGCCAAGACTGAAGCGTCGTCGTCGTCGTCATCGTCATCATCATCATTATAAAGTTTCATCCAATTATGCTAATGTATCTGATGTATAATTGAAATGCTGATGTATAATTGAAATGTTTAATAAACTATAGTTTTTACATTTTATTTTTTATATCATATTATTTATATCATGCTCTGTTTTTAATATTATTATTATTTAGTATTACAGTATTATTAATGTTGTTCTTTTTTTGCGTTTTTTACTTCTATGACAATTTAGCCTCAATTTCATCGTATTTATCATTGTACACGTTCATGTTTATAACTGGTTTTATGTAGTACCACATTGGAATTAAGTTTTACTTCTTAAAGAAAACTTTCATAGACCATCTTTGCATCATCTTTTATTGTTATATTTTTTGTCCTGCCTTGTGTGAATTTTATCTTTTTTACAATGTTTTGATGATGAGAAATAAACTGAACTGATGATATACCAAAACAAATATTGAATCATAATGGTCTGTTAATTTTATTTGAGTTGTACTTTAATGTTGTTATATTAGTAACAGCAGTTAAAATAAAACCATTAAACCAAGGTAAATACGAGTTAATGGCACCTTAAAGTTCATTAATAAGGTGCGAAATCATGAGGGGTTTTTCAAAGGTAACGCCCATATGAAACGTTACTTTCAATAAATTTTAAATATAAAAAATGGCGTTTTAAGCAAACTATTGTTGGTTCAATGATTCATGTTTTGCCTAATGTTCATGGTCAACTGAACATGTCATCAAGTGGGTCTGTTTATGGTACAACAACGACTTCGCCATCATCAAATGCTGTGTACGTTACTTTTAACGGATCATTTTCTAACAACGTCGTAAATACAAGTGCATATACTTTTTTCTTGTTTTTTCTGGTGATCCGCTTCTCGAGCGGATCACCTCTTGTTATTGTCAGGATCATCATCATCATCATCTTCGCCACGAGTTACGCACAATCGCACTAAAACGAACATTTGGCTTGGTAAGCTTTTCAACGCGCTCATTTTTGCGTGACATCATCTACGCGCAATTGAGCGTTTTTACATTACCGATCATATGACTAACCAATTGCCGTTTCGAAATCCTATTAAGTGAGCATAAACTTCAAGTCAATGTTGAATGTAATGTACCCTAATTTTACGTGCGCGCTTCATAACGCGCACGTACGCGAGCGTTAACATTATAAAATGCTCGAAATCATTTTTTGACTAAATTAGAGCACATTTCAGGTCATTTTGAGCATTTCAAAATTTTTTGAAATTTTCCACTACGCGTGCGCGCACTTTTACTTGCACAGCACATACGGAAGCTAGAAATTACGTTTTTTTACATATTTTGTGTTCCTGAAATTGTTTTCACAAATTTCCATTCTTTTCAGTCATCTTAAGGCTAATAGCAATGTCGTACGTGCGCATCAAACATAGGGATCTTTGCGCGGACTTGTGCCAATATACAGTGAAAATATGCTAAAGTAAGTAATCATATTGCCATCTAAATTTTTTTTTTAACTGAATTTTTATTTTTAACGTCTTTATTTTTAAATTCATTTAAACGTATCTCGCTTATTCTTGTTCGATCGTCTCCCACCTGTGAAAGCACATGAGTTGCAGATATGATTTTATGGATCATTATGGCTGATCGGACATGGTGACGTCATTATAATACCATCTAAACTTTAAAAAAACTGAATTTTTATTTTTAACGTCTTTATTTTAAAACTCGTTTAAACGCATGCGCTTATTCTTGTTCGATCGTTTCCCACCTGTGAGTATGTTATAGCTGAGACAATTTTCTTCACGTGATCATGGTCAAAAAAAGAATGAATTTTTGGAGCCCTTTTATCTCTTTCTAAAAAAAAACAAGAGGGGGCGGCAGACTGTATTTCGACGCTATCAGACTGATATATAGGTTATATGAAGGGAAAATTTGTGTGGCATTACCAACTAACAGGCAGTTTTTAAAACACTATCAGCATTGTAAAAGTTTCCATAATTTACGCTACGTACGTTCATTTCAACACACATTGCAAGTAATGAAGCTGGAAATTACGTTTGTCACATATTTTGGATTGCTGACACTTTATTCATATCAGGAGTAAACTCACAGGCGTCAAGACGTTTGCGTACACATGTGTAAAATGTTAAAAATTATTCTTTAATAAGAAACTAATTACAGCATATTTTAGTATATTATGAAACTTTTCAACCAGCATCGCATGCGCTTCCTGTGGGTCAATGTACGGCGGATCACCAAACTCGTCCTCAGTGACGAGTTCAAATCTAGTTTTTTATTATTTTTTTGCTCTGCAATTTCAGGCGATTGTATAACCGCAATCATTTATTTAGAATAGGCCTAAACATTTTTATAACATTAACTATAACGATTAGTCTACGCCCTCGGCTTAGACTCTCTAGGTTAGGCTTAGTAGACTAGTAGTACTTTATTTAGCCATTTTGCCAATTACCATACAGTATGTCATTTTAGAAGTGTTGCCGTTTTGGTTTATTTTATTGCCGTTTTGACTTATTGCCGTTTTGGTCTTGCCGTGTTGACTAATTGCCGTTTTGGTTCATTGCCGTTCTGGTCTAAAAGTGTTGTCGTTTTTTTTTTTGCTGTTTTGGTCATTGCCGTTTTGACTTATTGCCGTTTTGGTTTTTTGCCGTTTTTTCTTTTTAATTATTTTTTTTCTCTACAATTTTAGGCGATTGTATAACCGCAATCATTTATAGGCCTATACATTTTTATAGCACTTTACTTTTTTTTTTACGTTTTGGTTTATTTAATTGCCGTTTTGGTCTTGTCATTTTGACTAATTGCTGTTTTGGTTCATTGCCGTTTTGGTCTAAAAGTGTTGTCATTTTGGATTTTGTTTTTTTTTTTGCCGTTTTGACCTGTTCCCATAGTAGTAGCTATAGTGGGCCTAGCAGTCACTATAACAACTCCCTGGGCCTAGGTGGAGCTAGCCTCTAGCCTAGGCCTACTCTCGCTGTAGGCCTACTACTACAACAACGACCATGCTGCTCTTGCTAGGGCCGTATAAATCCGATATCTGATATTTTTTGCTGCCAGCGTCCGACCCTCCCTTGGTATAAAATCTTAAAAATTCAAATAAAAAAGACTTTGGCTAGTGGCTAGCATGCAACATTTGTGGCCATAGGTCTTGTTGTTACAATCAAAGTAGGAGGCTGAGACTATGTATGTTATAATATTAATGACACTAAATCGTGAAATGGAACAGCGCTGCCATTTTTTAATAGGCCTACTCGCAAGGCAAGGTTTTAGGACTTTTTAATATTTAGTTTTTGTTGTTTAAAATTGCTTAAAATATATTATTTGGGATTTGCCAAAGAAAAAAAAATTACAGTGACTGAAACTCGAAAATTAGAGTGTGTGATCAGTACACTTTATGTCCATGGAGGAAATACTGTACTTAGGTTGAGTTTCTTTTCACAATCTCGATCATGTTTACGACGCAAATTCTAGCGATGCGTAGAAACTACATAATTTTGGGCACGGCGGGTTTACGAAAGGAACAACATACACTTTTACAACAGTGGCAGCACACAAGAAAGTGGCGCAGTCAAACTTAAACTAATGAACAAAGAGGAAAAAACAACTTAAAGCTCAACAAATGAAAGAACATAACTAAAGAGTTTAAATAAATCATAAACAATCCTCACCTTCCCCACGCAAATAATGTACATAATACACATTATTTGCATACAGTAGGCCTACACCCCACCCAATATAAATAAATCTTTTTATCACTTACTGTCATTGATTGTTTACACAGTGTAATTAAGAAGGTCACACTGTCCTAAAAGGGAGATGTACACCTATGACATAGCTCCATGTTCCCCACCATAGGTAAAATCATGGAGTCCATGGTATAAATAAACACCTCCAATCAGTTACCACGGACCGATGCCCTCGATTGTCACTCACCTTCCACAAAATCCTAAATCTATCACTCTGCTTATAAATAGTTTCACATAGAAATATGTGTGATAATTTCTAATGCAGCACTCTGAGATTAACTTCAAATATGTAGTTTTATGTGACACAAGCTCTGGCCGTCAATGAAGTCAGCGAAAGCTTGTGTCAAATAAACTATAACATCTTTAAAGTTGGTCTCAGAGTATTGCCTCATCATTACCTGCTATCAATATTTGTTCAGATTAACACGGCTGTACAACTACTCTTACCAAATGTTTTGAGAAACTTACTCAATACTTGGTTAGAGATGCGGAGCAAGAATCCAACACTCTTGTCTAGGAAGAGTTTTAATTTAGATTACACAAATACCGAAAAAAAAATTACTCTAGCAGAAAAGTAACATAGTTTCATACCAAAGTAGAAACATAAACTGAGAAAAATGTGTATCATTACTGAACACTTTTTAATTGTTCATTTTTGTAACAAATAAATAAATATTGGATGAAACACAAAAAAAAACAGTCTCAACGGGGTTAAATGATAATCAATTTTTGAAACCGTCATCAAGATATTGTCTCATGCCAACAAAAACATAAACAAAACATAATTATATTAAAAAGGATAAATGCTGAATTAACAATTAAAATTTAATAAACCATCTTCAAAAAAATATCATCTCGATAAAAGTAAACAAAAATCCGAATATTTGGGTAGCTTATGCAAGTTGTGAAATTTTTATTCTTCCTCTTTACAACCACTGTGACCTTGCAGTGACAAACTTACTACTTCAAACAAAGATGATCCGACCTAAACCAAAAAGAAAATGTATATTATATCTTACTCTGGTTTGAGTATAACTTCAGCAACATCGTTCCATGTAATTTTAATGTTCTTATTTTCAGATTGAGGTTTACCAACACATTTAATATAGCTTTGTCCTTCCTTTCCTTTTCCAGTTTTTAGTGCAAATGAATACACTTGATCACTGAGTACAATTCCAATAGGGCTAAAAAAAAAAATAATCATGAATTAGTTAATTATCAAAGACTGGCAAAAATCAAAATGATGATGATCATCATCATCATTATCATCGCCATTGCCAACATCGTCACCTCCATGATCAGAGTCATCATCATCATATTATTGGCTTTTCCCAGCAGTAGCTGGAAGACATTGTTCTGATTTTTTTTTCTTGCATACTTTTTTTCAATCTTTTTGCACTGTTTTTTTCTGGCCTGCACTTCAGTCACTTCATATGCTTAGAACTTTTCCATGCTTTGCCGAAGCATAGACTATATATTAAGGATGTGCCTCCTAATATTTAGTGTCAATCTAAAGTGATTTAAGGGCAAATAGTCTACACCAGATATTTCGAAAACGGGTCAATTAATCTAAATGAAACTTTCAGAAAAGTTTAACCAAGTTACAAGGAAAAAATTATATGTGTTGAGGACAATCCAGTTGAGGGTGTAAATTTGAGGATCATTTAAATTTTTGAGGTAACAGACCTAAATATCTATTTAAAAATACTGAAAATTGAAACTTTGTATAACAGCTGGTCAAGGTTTAGTAAAGAATTGATTAAATTTTTGTGACAATCCGGAGGAGAGTGTGGATCTGAGGGCCATTCAAATGAAAACGTCCCGGACCAGGTATTTCAAAAACAGGTCAACTAATCCGAATGAAACTTTGGTTAAAAAAAAACAAAAAAAGTTCACAACTACCGCGAAGTTAGTGAGATTCTCACAACTTCGCGGTAGTTGTGAACATGGTTTTTTTTTAACTTAATAATTTTTTTAGTACTATAAGTATTTTGGTTTTCCTTGTTTCTCATTATAGCAATGGGCAAAGCCCTATGTTCTGTTGTAAAGACATAGTAAGTTTAGTTATTATTATTATTATTATTGTTATTCTTAATGATAATAATAATAATAATATATAATAATTATTATTATTATCATTATTATTATTAATATTGTTATTATCTTGTTATTGTTATTACAATTCATAATTAACTTATCACTATGGAATAGCAGCATACTTATATAAGTATGCAGCTAATCAAACCAGTCTCACCTGATAAACAGTGTTTTGTCGACGTTACTCCTGTAAATGGTATCTGAATAAAAATAGTAATTATATACTCGAATGTAGTGATACACAACATA